ACCAATGGTATACCATATACATAACATTGGCTTTATAACACAAAAAATGAATATAGAAATCTCGTGTATATATATATATAAGTCAATGTCTGTCTGTTTCGCGATAAACTCAAAAACTACTGAATCAATTGGTACCAAATTTTGCATGTCGCTTTTTATAAACCTGAGGAAAATTTTCGGCTAATTTTGATTAGTATTTTTGGCTATTTCTTTTTTTCATTTGAAGAACTTTTTTTTTTACGCGGAGTAAATACGAGGCGAAGTAATAACACGAGGCCAATTAAGCGGCCAATGAGCGTTCTGCATTTCTTTTCAAGTTGCTTGCATACTTTTTTTAAAATATCTTTTTATACGAGTGTCACTTTTTTTTACAAAAGTATTGAGAGAGAAATTTATATTACTAAGTTACGGTAAGTGCATACAATTCAATTAAAAAAAAAAAAAACTTTACAAAATTAGCGTTACTGTATGTAAACAATGGCTTTCGTATTTTTTATTAATTTTTGTTCTGGCTTTTGTTTTTTTATATAATAAATAAAAGTTACAGTCAATATGATAATTCTTAAAATTAAACAAACAATAGTCAATATGCAAAAATACAAACTAACTTAATAAAATATTCTAATATCAAGCAATATGCAAAATCTCTCCTAATATTTAAATGTACATATTATTAGCATCTTAACGGCGTTTATTCGTTTTTATGTACTCCTGCAGGAAGGCAGAAATACTCGAAAGTTCGATATTGTTTTAATAAAGTGTAAAGAATCTCAAGAACTATTTTTTGCGCGGCAGTAAATACGAGGCGGAGTGACAACACCAGGCGAATTAACCGACCAATGAGCGTTCTGCATATTTTCTAAATCGCTTGCCCAACTTTTTTTTTTTTTTTAATATCTTTTTATAAGAGTGTTACTTTTATTTTTACAAAAGTATTTAGTATTAAGTATTCAGATAGAAATTCGTATTACTAAGTTACGGTAGGTGCACACAAAAATGCAATTTTAAAAATCTTTACAAACCTATCGTTACTATGTACACAATGGATTTCGTATTTTTATTAATTTTTGTTCTAGCCTTTATTTTTTAAAAATATTTTTACAAAAAAAATCATATGTAGTGAAATTTTAATATGAATTACTGTCTCATTTAACAGGCAAAACATGTGTTTGTCTATAATCCATATACCCTTTGGTTTTTATCAGCCTAAAATATTAACATAGCTATTTTGGCATTAGTTTTTTTTTTTTTGAGTATTATTATTTTTTGCAGACATGTTGATAGGGCACTACATTTTACAAAGTTACGGTTAGTAAATGTTTTAATGTCCATCCATACAGAGTTCAAAACAACAACTACCCACCCGTGCAGTCACAGTCACGCTACACCGCGGCACGTGGGAAAACATCCAATGTTCCCAGCACATCCCCCTTTTTAAGATTTGAAATATATATACATTACAAACTTTAAATGCATAATATAATTAATAATGAAGGCGATCCACGGGTTTAACAATTCGTCCACTCCGGGTTCTTACCTGGTCGTCTTCTGAGTCGTTAGAGGGATAATCCACAACTGGGGTGTTTTCATTTTCAACCAGTTCCTCCCCCGAAAAGGTCGGCGTCGATGGGTCGGCTGGATATTGCACTGTATCTCCTTTTCGTAGATGGAACCTGTTTCGAAGTACAGTCCCAACTGGAGTATCAACCATATATGACCTTGGTGTCGATGCTTTCTGCTTTACAATCCCCCAGATTCGCATATCTGTAATCCAAACCGTGTCACCTTCGGAAAGCTCCTCCATGTCCGTAGCTCCGCAGCGTCGATCATATCTGGATTTCATATCCTTTCTCCTTCTCCCCTCCTTTCTTTTCAGGGTCTGAGAGTACACCAACCTTGGATTAAGATTCTCTGGTGCAATTGGCAAGGTCGTTCGGAGTTTACGTCCCATGAGAAGCACAGCTGGGCTGTAATCGTTCTCCAAAGGGGTCGATCGATACTCCAGGAGTCCAAGCGATGGGTCTTGATTTTTCTTGAGGATCAACTTAGCAATTTTCACACCTGCTTCTGCCATCCCATTGCTCTGCGGGAATCGAGGACTTGAAGTGACATGTGTGAATCCGTACTGCCTTGCGAAATTTGCAAATTCACGAGCAGCTCCAAATTGCGTCCCATTATCGCTTACAACAGTTTCTGGTATTCCATGTCGGGCAAATATGGATTTGCAACTACGCACCACCACATTGGCTGTGAGCCGATCCAGCTGAATCATTTCAGGAAATCGAGAATAATAGTCAATGACGACTAGATACCACTTATTCTCGAACTTGAACAAATCCATTCCAATCTTTTGCCACGGTCGTGTAGGAAAGTTGGTTGGTATCAAAGGTTCATGTTTTGAGACGGCTTCCTGGATACAGACACTGCACTTTCTGACCGTTTCCGCGATCTCTTCCGAAATTCCAGGCCACCATACCGTCTCACGTGCGCGAAGTCTTGTTTTTGTAATCCCGAAGTGCCCAGCGTGCAACTTATCTAGGATCTCCAGTTTCATACTTGCTGGAATAACAAGACGACAGCTACGCATCAGTAGTCCATTTTGAACGCCGAGTTCATCCTTGACATGCCAATAAGAGAGCAGAGCCTGTGACATCTTCTTATCTGGCCAGCCTTGCTCAAGGTAGTTGACTACTGCTTTCAGGGTCGTATCTTCTTGTTGAGCTTCAAAAATCTTCGTCAACATCTCGTCTTTGTCGGTTATACACGAGAGAACTGCATTTATATGCGCTGAGGTTGGCCGTTCGTTTCCACCTCCCTCGGTTGTTAGAAGTGGTTGTCTGGATAATGCATCAGCGTCGAGCAGCTCCTTTCCAGGGATATGCACTATTTCGAATCCAAACCTCATCATATGCATTCGGAAACGTTGCAGTCTTGGGGTCAGCGAACTCAATTCTCTCGTCGAAAATAGATAAATGAGAGGCTTATGGTCGGTCTCAATTCGTAAACGCTTTCCAAGCAGGGAATCTTGAAAACGTTCACAAGCTCATGTAATTGCGAGAGCCTCTTTCTTGATCTGAGCATATCGTTTTTCGGTAGGTGTCATAGTTCTAGAAGAATAAGCAACAGATCGCCAGATTCCATTCTTACCTTCTTGCTTCAGTACCGCTCCCAAGCCGTATGAAGATGCGTCGGATGACACCATAGTTGGTTTCCTGACGTCGTATGCTGCCAAGATGGGTTGAGTCGTGAGCAATTCTTTCAATTTTCGGAATGCTCGCTCCTGGCTGCAATCCCAAACGAAGTCTTGACCTTTCACCAACAACTAGTTTAGTGGAGCCATAATTTCAGATAAATTTTCCACAAAGCGTCCCAGATGGTTCACCATGCCAAGAAGTCTTCTTGCGCCATGAACATCGGTCGGCGCAGGCATCTTCGCCACTGCTTCGATTTTCGCTGGATCTGGTCGAATACGGTCTTCATCCAGTATGTGCCCAAGAAAATTAATTCTTGGCACGCCGGAGACACACTTGGCCTTGTTTAGTGTAACTTTTGCCTCTTTCAGTTTTTGGAGCACTAAACGAAGAATTCGATCGTGAGTCTTGGAGTCGGAGGCAAATATCAGGATATCGTCCAGGTAACACATTACACCGTCCATGCCTTGCAAGATTATTGACATAAATTTAGGAAAATACTCTGGGGCGAGTGAGATTCCAAATGGCATTCTGCAGAATTTATATCTCCCAAAAGGAGTGATGAAGGTCGTTAAATGCTGGCAGTCCGGGCTCAACGGAATCTGGTGAAAGCCACTGTTCGCGTCCAGTTTCGAAAAGAATCTTGCTTCCCCCAGTTGCCCCAGCATGTGCTCCACCACTGGCATGGGATGCACCTCGCGCTGTACATGTTCGTTCAGCCTTGAGAGATCCACACAGAGTCGTATGTCGCCATTCGGTTTAACAGCAATCACAGTCGGTGCACACCATTCAGTCGCAACGGTAACTTGTGCTATGATTCCCGCCTTCTCGAGCTCTTCCAATCTTGTTTTGAGCTTTTCCATCAAAGGTATTGATACCCGTCGAGGAGTATGCACAGCATATGGTTTTGCTCCAGGTTTCAATTTGATTTCGTAAGGGTTTCCGATCTGTCCCAGTCCTTCAAATACTTCAGGGAATTCCTTGATCGGGTTAATTCTCGTCGCAACCACTTCAATCCTCCTCGCCAGGTTCAAGAGCTCACATGCCCGGCGACTCAGAAGAGGTTCACTCAAACGATGAATGACATAAAACTTCTCCTTGATTTCATAATTGCCATTTCGCAGCGTTGATTTAAACATACCCACAGTCTGAAGTTCGGAAAATTCAGCAGCTCTAATGTTGATATCACTTTCCACTAGTCGTTGCTGTCCCATTATCTTCTTGAAGAGACACAGAGGAACACATGTAACATCCGCCTGGGAGTCGAGCTTGAACTTCACCTGTTTCCCGTTCATTTGGATTTCTGCTGTCCATCGCCTCCTGCACTCGCCTTCATCATCATCGAGATTAGATGAATCCTCCACAGCTGAGACATCCAGGAGAAAACCAATTTCTTCATCAAGTTCAGAAACAGCTTTGACTTCCGCAGTCTTCGCCTGCTTATCTGGGCAGCAATTTGCAAAAAGGCCAGTTTTTGAACATAGGTTACATCTTTGTCCTTCATCACGGCAAGCCTGTCCTTCCCTGTGGGTGAAACCTCCGCATTTTGGACATCGTGATCTTGTTTTGGCTGACTTCTCCTTCTTCCTCGAAGGCTGATGTTGTTGTTTCGGTGATTGTTTCTTCGAGTTGAACTTCACCTGATTGACCTTTTGGCTTGTTGAGGGACGCTGCAGGTCGACTTGCTGCTGTCGAACGGCTTCCTGCTGTCGAACCATTTTCCCCGCCTTTTCCAAAGTCAGTTCGCTGTCCAACTGCATTCTTTCAGATAAAGCTTTGTCCCTCACACCAACCATTATTCGGTCACGGATCAATTGCTCATGAAGACCCTCAAATTCGCAACTATCAGCCAATTTGTACAATGAAGTGATGAATTCGTCCACTGGCTCCTGATCCTCTTGGATTCTTGAATTAAATTTCGCACGTTCGTAGATAATATTCTTTCTGACACAGAAGTGGCTGTCGAACGCCTTGAGGACGGAATCAATTTTCGTTGCCTCTTCCTCCTTTTCGAACTTGAAGGTCCTGAATATATCATCCGCGCGGTCACCCATCAAGTACATGAACAAATCGATCTTGTCCGCCTCCTCTTTCTTCTTCATTCCACTGACCACGAGGTATCGTTCTAATCTCTTCCTCCATTTGGGCCATTCGTTGGGAGTCGAGAAGTCGAAAGTTTCTGGAGGTTGAATCTGAGCCATGTTGAATTATCTTCCAAGGTACACAAAATTCGATATTTTGCAATATACGGGTACGTATTTTATCCAGTTATCGCTGCCACCATGTTTTAATGTCCATCCATACAGAGTTCAAAACAACAACTACCCACCCGTGCAGTCACGGTCACGCTCCACCGCGGCACGTGGGAAAACATCCAATGTTCCCAGCACAGTAAACAATGCAGATTTGACAACATTTACAAACTTTTATTACAGTATGTAAACAATGGGCTTATGTTTTGTCATTGTTGTAATGGCCTTTGTTTTGTTATTATTTTTAAAAAATCATATGTTTCATTGATAGTTTAAAATTTAGTCTGTTGTTGTCATATATTTGCTAAGTTCCATGTGCCCTTTTATTTTTTACTGAACATTTATTGACATTCATTAACATGACTGTATTTTGGCTTGCGTTTTTATAAGCCTATTTTTTTTTCTTACTGAGAGAGATGGGGAATTATATTAGAGAGGCTGTCTCCTCACCCTTCCAATTATTTGACTGTTTTATTCGCTTGCCATTTCTGTATATTTTGTTTGTGGTAGTTCTATTATGCTGCTTTCTTTTTGTCTACGCAGATATTAGGCTAGGGAAAAAAATAGTTGAGCATTCTAAAGATTGACCTGTTTGACATGTTTTGCCATTAGTTTTTTTAGCCTTATTTTTTTTCTGCTGAAATGTTGAGAGAGAAATTTGTTTTAGTCACCAAGTTATGGTTAGTGAACAATGTAGTTTTGATATTTACAAACTTAATGATGCTATGTGTGGACAATGGGTTCTTATGTTTAGTTATTGTTGTGATGGCCTTTGTTTTGTTACCTTTCTTTGAATATGAAATAATACTATTATTAAAAAGGCAGACCTTATTGATAAGATGGGTAGTATGCTTTTTTTCCCTATAGTTGAGTGCGCCCCATTTCCCTATCTATATATATTGTAGCGTAGAAATCAAGCCTTGAAATATCCGAAGATGTAAAAGTATTTATTGATGACGTCACAGCGACGAGTCGACAATTATTAACAGGTCAGCCCCCCAAAACTATTTACAGCTAGAGAATCTTAAGCAAGTAAGCAAAGAAATATTTTAAGATGATTTCACAAAAACAGATTAATATATATTTTTATAATCTGTTGAATATATTTTCATTGAATAATATTAAATTAAATAATAAAATATTTCTTCGCCACATAGCCTCCTCCTATAAAGAGCATCGACCCGATGTTCAGAAGAAGACTTACATCCTCAGTCTCAAGGCTCGAGAACGGGTGATAGGGCCTGAGACCTCTTCGCGGGTCTGTGGTTGTTGTGTTCGTTCAGTGGGGATGTCTTATTTCAGTTGAGATAACTTCTTCCTGAGGGCTTGGCAGGTCTATATTTACGTTATTGTAGTTTTTATTTCCACTGTGGTCGGCAAGGGAGGATTTTATAAATTTGCGGCCTTACCTCCCATATGGGCTATCATCTAGTTTTAATGGCGGGGCGTCCAGCTAGATCTTCTAGCATGTGAGAAATGTTGTCTGTTTCGACCGGGATATGAGGTAGGGCTTCGGTAGCGAGTGAAATTTTTCCTCGATGATTCGTCATTGGGGTCCTGAGATTCGGCTCGAAAGTTGTAGAATACCATTGCGTCTTGCTTTCTTTGGAAATATTCTTTTCTCCTTTCCTCATTGTGTCTCTTCCTGTCGCGGCAATAGCGGACGACGTGACCTGGGCGTCCGCAGTAGAAACAGATTGGCTTTCCCTCAGTTGTCCGCCATTCATTGGTGTCACATCTTCTTCCTTGCTTTCGGTAATGAGGTTCAGGATGCGGTCGTATCGTTTGGGCCTCGTATCTAGTATTTGATTCCGGTCTGGATGCTTGAGGGGGATTTATTGTAGGTTTTGATCTAGGTGCCAAGGTCTTTACAATCTCTTCCCTCACTAAATCTTCAATGACAGCGATTTTAGGCTCCTCATGAGGAGAGTCCAATGCTTGCTGTATCTCTTCACGAACAATTTTTCGGATCAGCGATGACAGATCTTCTCCGTCATCCTGGTCACAGAGAGAGGCTACATTTGGTAGGCGCTCGTACTTGGTTGGGGTAACTCGCCTACAGCGGAGCGTTTCGACACGGCGACATTCTGTAATGAATTGCTCGGTGCTCTGTACATCCCTCGGTAGGAGTGCTTGATAAAGCTCCTCAGCTATCCCCTTCATGAGGTGGGAGATTTTATCTTCCTCGCTCATTTGAGGATCAACCTCTTTGCACAAGCACAGGACATCCTGGATGTAACATTCGGTACTTTCCCCTTTTAATTGTGCCCGTGTTTTAAGTTTCTTCTCCGCTTGCAATTTTGAATTTTCTTTTTTTCCGAACACATTCTCTAATTGAGATGTGAATTCCTTCCAAGTCTCTATGCTTTCTTCGTTGTTCTCAAACCATTTGAGAGCAGTTCCAGACAGATAAAAATAAACTTTAGTAAGACAAAGGGTTTCGTCCCAATGGTTGTACCTTGCCACACGTGCATACCCTTTTAACCATTTTTGGAGATCTTCACCATCCTCCCCTGAGAAAATGGAAGGGTTCCTTGGAAGATGTTGAACAACGTAGTTGCTTACCTGAGTACCTTCCTTCTTTACATTCATAGAAGTTTCTTCTGGTTCAACAGAATCAATTTTTCTTTTATTTCTTAATGGGTATCGGTCCAGTCTCTCCACCAGTTGTAGCGTAGAAATCAAGCCTTGAAATATCCGAAGATGTAAAAGTATTTATTGATGACGTCACAGCGACGAGTCGACAATTATTAACAGGTCAGCCCCCCAAAACTATTTACAGCTAGAGAATCTTAAGCAAGTAAGCAAAGAAATATTTTAAGATGATTTCACAAAAACAGATTAATATATATTTTTATAATCTGTTGAATATATTTTCATTGAATAATATTAAATTAAATAATAAAATATTTCTTCGCCACAATATTTCCAACATACTTCTGCCTTTTCTACTAGATAATCAGTTTTGTTCTGTAACATATTCTGATACTTTGGATTTGTTTTGGGTCTGCACTGTTTTCCTTAAAAGCCTTTTTTTATATATACAAAAATATTTTTGGTACTGATTGTGCTATTTCTGTTTTTTAGGACACATTTTCAAATTTAATCATCCCATTTGATATGCCTCGCAAAAGATCTGCAATTGGAGTAAGAACTCCTGCAGCTCGCCGCATGGCTGCCCGAGCTGCTAGATGCCAAAGTAGCCGCACATTGGAGAATCCCCAACAGATCAAGCCCGCCTCCAAAGTGACCAGCTGCGCCACAGAGTTCAACGCGCATCAGAGACTCCCCAGCAGTCCCAAACACGACAGGAGGCTGACCGGTTGCGGCACTTCAGGCAACGAGCTAGCACTTAGGCTGATATGCTCAATGCTGCTTTCCATTACAATCCGGCCCTGAATTATGAACAATTTACTTTTCTTCAGATTGGCCATATGGATAAACAATGTCTACATTTATTTTACAATGCACTAGCGCGCCATCTGTTATCAAATTACAAAACTATTCTAGACCCGTAATATTCTTTTTAAAATAAAACAATTTCTACTGCCCTTACTGCAATGGAAGGCCCTCCCTTTAATTTTTCCATTGCAGTAAGGGCAGTAGAAATTGTTTTATTTTAAAAAGAATATTACGGGTCTAGAATAGTTTTGTAATGTCTACATTGTACTGCCTTTATGTATAATGGTGAGCGGCCTGGAATGTGCTGTTCTGCAGGGAAGGTCAGAATTCCTGATTTACCTGAACCCCCAGAAGCTCTCAGAACTCTGCTCGATGGGTCTTCTCCTCACTCGGCTGAGTTCATGCAACGTGTCCGTCACTATAACAATGGCTTCCAAATGACATCTTTTGGGTGTGGTAGTCGTGTTGTGTTGCCAGGTTACATGCCAACGTTTAAGGTCCAAGGCCAGGTCTATCATAGAATTGGCTCTATTTTGCCACCACTCAACTCTGATAGCCGTCAACTACAGCCAGCATTCCTTCAGGTTTTCTTCATCGGAGATAGTAGTGCAGAGGTTGCCACCCGCCATAGAAACTTTCCCATCACTAAGCCCCACATTGTTAGCATTTTTCAAGATATGTTGCATCGACATAATCCTTATGTCCATTTGTTCAAAGCTTCCATTGAAAAAATGCCTTCTCCTGATTACAAGTTGGTCATTAAGGCTGACAAAGCACCGCCTGGACACCATCCTTGCACATTCAATGCTCCAACCATTAATGAGGTTGCCATTGTTATTGTGCAGGAAAACTGTGACAGACTTGACATTGTTCTTTCCAAAAGAGGCAGTGGTGTGCAGAGGATTAACGAGTTTCACAGGTCTTATGACGCCCTGCAATACCCATTGGTTTTTTGGAATGGTCAAGATGGTTATCATTTCCATATCCCTCAGCTGATTGATGAGGTTCCTTCGGCGCACAAGACGGTTTCTTGCATGGATTTTTATGCTTCACTGCTAATGATTCGTAGCCGTAATCCTGGCATAACAAATTGGTTACTGGCTTTTGGAGATTTGACCCATCAAATTCTGGTCGACATTTATGCCAAGGTGGAATCTGAAAGGCTGCATTACATCTCAGCGCATCAAGCTCAACTTCGTGCAACCGAATACATCAATCTGTTAGATGCTATTCGCACTGACAGGAGTCATGCCCTTATTGGAAGACAAGTTATTCTTCCTTCTTCCTTTGTGGGCAGTCCAAGGCACATGCTATAGGGTTCACTATAGAGGGGTTTTACTGTATATATTTGTATATATTTGAGAGGTAACATTTCTAGAATTAGAATATTTAAGGACAGTTACAGATTATTATAATTTATATAAATATTAGTTTTTTTCTATTATTTTTTTCAGAAAAACATCTACGAATGTTTGACTGGGGTCTGAAAACATTAGATTACAGGCTGCTGGCCAGGCTTGGTCAATCACGGTCACTCTTCTCAAGCAATTTAAATCCCTATCCCTTTTTACCCAAAGAGTGTAATAGACCTACAGAGGATGCACCACTATATATAAGAGTTAACACGCAGGGGCGGGTACCTCGGAGGTTGGGTGGAAAATCTGCCAACTATTTGAACTATATTTAAAACACCTAAATGGATTGAAAAATAAATAAATAAAATACCTAAATACTAATATATTGCATTTTTTGACATCACACATACTTTTTGCCTGTGATAATGTATTACTTCGGTGTTGCTATTCTATGGCTCTAATACTATTTATTATATGACCGTCGCAGCAAACTAGCGGCCTCGGGCCGTGACAAAGCCACAAGACCAGCTTTGGAAAACTGAAAAGCATCCACCTAGAGACCATTGTTTCGGGCTAATGGCCCTTGTCAGCCAAAGGCAGACTTGTAAGATTCCATCAGATACCTTGTGTCCAGTTCTCTCATTAACTGAGGAAGCTGAACGTCCTTACCTTGGCGCGTCTCTTATGCCAGAATTTCCTCACGGGTACCACCCTAACACGGTAGTAATATGTGGACATCATTTCCCAGTACAGGAGTCATTACTTGCAAGCATTCTTCAATGCCGAAACATGGTTCAAAATTATATCATAAAATGGCTCGGTATTCAATTTGGCACCAGCTAGACATTTTTTAAATTTTATCACTCCACAGTTAAAAGAATACTAACATCTATCAAATTAAATTTTGACTGCAGTTCAAATATAACCAGGGCTAAATAAGTTCGAACTCGTGCCCACGTGCCGCCCGTACGGGTTGGAGCGTATTGTAAAACTTATATAGTGCCCTTTGTATTCAGAAAAAGGAAGATTTTATTCCGAAAAATAAAATGGCGCAAGCCATAAAAACCTTTATTTGCACGATCAGGAGATGCCTTTTTCTTAATTTATATACCTGAACTCAATAAAATTTCACTTTTGTACTTTATTTTTCACACTATATATATATATATATATATATACATATATATATATATATATATATACATAAAGAAGGGGTTGAAATGTCGCTGGAATTTTATCTGATGATCCCCGTTCCAGCAGATCTCTTTTTCCAATTTATTTCAATTTAAAGTTTTTTGTGTATGTCTGGTCTACCATTAGGGTTTCAAAACATAATATCCAAACTTATAACAAATGTTAATTCATACTATAGATATATTACTAAATACAACTATTTATAATCATATTATAAAATAAAAAAACCTTTAAAAATCTTTAAAAAAAAAAAAAAAGGATAAAATATAAAATCATAAAAAAATATATATATATATACTAACAATCTTATCTACCTTCTTTATAAAACTCTTTTTTGTTTTTTTTTTCTTTTCCTTATTATTAGTTTGATTAAAAGTGCATGGTTCTGTCTTTCTATCTTTTTTCTAACTATTATATATATTATCTCTTCGATTATTCTATATATAGGATTAGAGTATGTCTGAATGACGTGTAAAAGCCGATGTAATAGACGTTACTTTGTTAATTTTTTTATTGTTATTAATTATAATTATATAATTAACTTGAGGATGTAATAGAAGTAAAGGAATTTTTTTTTTTTTTTTTTTCTCTCTCTATCTACAAATTAATAACATTTTACAAAATTTTATAATTTGTATTTAAATGATCATAATAGTGAAGATAATCTTAATACAAAACTGGACTATAAAATTAAATAACTATTTATTATTATATATATATATATATATATATATATATATATATATATGTATATGTAATATACATTGCTTTTTTTGGTGCGGTTGATTGAGTTGTTTGATTGATTGATTGATGATTGTGGTGGGCGCAGTCGTGTTTGCTGAAATAGTAAGGTATTCACACAGGGGAAAATAACGAGGACATAGGATTGGATTGAAATAGGCCAGCGATCAAGGGAGAAAGGGGTTTAGGCGATTGGCGTTTCTTGACTAATGTGATTAGGCGATTCACATACTGAACATTGGACTTATCTGAGTGCTGAGAAGATGGTGGCGAGCTCCAACTTGTTCCTTGGTAGGTCCAGATGCTAACTGCTCTCGATGCTGTCCAGGTCCCGACTGATTAACCTGAGTCCGAGATTTAACTCGTTAACTCTTCAATGTTCTCAATGGATGACTGTCGACTCGTGGCCGTTTCTCATTGGCTCTTAGCTAGTCCTCCTGGACTCTGATTGGATCTTAGCTATTCCTTTGTGTTGTTTTAACATGCTCCCGGAAGAAGAGGTTCTTGAACTCAGTTTTATGAGTTCCTGGGTAATAACTTTTGCTTCCTGGATAATGAAAACCTGCTAATGATCTTTTTTCTCTGATGGCCTTTCTCCCAGATTCGCTAAGCCTAGTCTTTATTAAAATCTTTAGATCATACATTGCATATAATATTGTGATGGGATTACATCCAGTTATGTACAAAATATGACAGATGCGCCCCCTACATGTGAAGAATTCAAGAAGGGGTAACCTGAAGTGAATTCTGAAAGAGAAAAAAGTAATTTTATGGAAAAATTAATTATGGTTATTGAGAGGATATATACAAGCATTGGTAGTGACATAAGAGATAAAAGAGATTGGTGTTGGTGAGATATTGGTTGATTAAAGGTAAGTGAAATCAAAATATTCAATTATAAGAAATCAAAATGAATGCTATGGTACATTGTTGGAAAAACAAAAGTAAAAGGTGCCTAAATACTATTCTACTCGAGATGGGGAACAAAATCGAGGGAATTTTTCTATTAGGGCTTTTGAGAAATCAAAATTAAAATAAGTTGGGAGAATTCAAAGTGAATGTGCCTTGGTGCATAGTGAGAAAAAAAGAAAAAGGTGCCTAAACAATATTCTACTCGAGATGGGGAACAAAATCGAGGGAAACTTTCTATTAGGGCTTTTGAGAAATCAAAATTAAAATAAGTTGGGAGAAATCAAAGTGAATGCCTTGGTGCATAGTGAGGAAAAAAAAGAAAAAAGGTGCCTAAACAATATTCTACTCGAGATGGGAAACACAATCCAGGGAAATTTTCTATTAGGGCTTTTGAGAAATCAAAAATAAAATTTTGTTGTGAGAAATCAAAGTGAATGCCTTGGTGCATGGTGAGAAAAAAAAGAAAAAAAGGTGCCTAAACAATATTCTACTCGAGATGGGGAACGAAAATCGAGGGAATTTTTCTATTAGGGCTTTTGAGAAATCAAAATTAAAATAAGTTGGGAGAAATAAAAGTGAATGCCTTGGTGCATGGTGAGAAAAAAAAAAAGAAAAAGGCTTTTTGGAAATCAAAAAATATAAAATATATAAAATATCTAATTTTAAAAGAAAACCAGTGAGTTTTCGTTGAGAAAAATTTGTTTAGTTGTTGAGAGTCATTGGTTTATGAACAAAATAAAAAGAAGTTGTTATATAAATGGTAAATATTTGATTAAGATAAATGATAAGTATTTGATTAAGATAAATGGTAAATTTGATTAAGAATTTTGATTTTAAAATAATAAAAGATGTAAATGAATGGGATAAGTAAAATGTAGAGCGAGAGGTTCACAAACTCTCTTTGTGATAAAATTACATGCCAAAGTCTATGTCACGCGGCGCAATCAGCTCTTTTTATTTGCCTCGTAGATTTTTTGTCTTTCCCGTGCGACTCATGGGTAGAAACATGATCTTTCCCAATTGTGCTTTATATTATGTATACAGGAGACATGGGAATCTAATTAACCTTACGTGTGTATTTTGTTTTTGTGGGTTTTGTGTTTTTCAGATCTCAAGGCCGAGTGTATTATGTTAATATGTCCCGAGCCTTAATGCGTTCTATGGATTTTTATGCAATTCCCTAGGGCACTTAAGATATGCTCGCCCGATATCCACTTTTTTTATCGGGAGGTCGTAACCGGAGTCGGATCTTTGAATACAGGGTTCGAGGAAAGTCCTCAACCCTTCTAAAGTGATTGTTTATTCCTTTCGGAAGAAACGTAAGCTTGAAAGCTTTGCTACCTAATTTTTCCTATCCTTTAAGTGGTAATGTGCGTGCTCTTGTTCGTATTTAGCCTTGAGATCTACGTGTTGTGCATTTGGTCGTGATTGTTATGTACTTGTTTTTATGTTTTGCCAAAATATTGTTAGAAATGTTAGTAAGCATCAAATTTGGTCGGCAATTCATTGGGGATGTCTGGAAATGTATTAAGGTTTTTGTGAGAAATGTAAAATTGAGTTTTATGTGTTGTTAAAAGTCTAAGGTCTGTTGTGTCTGGGTGTAAGTTGGATATGTACCTAATGTGGAAAAATGTAAAAGTTTTTGGAAGAAGAAAATAAATATAAAAATAGAAATGTTGAAATTCATTGGGATGTCTGGAAATGTATTAATATAATTAAATTGTGTTTTTTGTAAAAGTCGATATGTAAGCTCGTTGTAACTGGGATCCAAGATTGGTGACCGTTAAAAATGGCGGACGGGGCACGCGGTGACCTCATTTTTATTCGGGGACGGCGCGAGGGGCCCTTTGGGGAAGATTTCTAAATTTGTCCACCCCCACTCTTGTGTAATTGAGACTTCCTGTCCTCCTAATTGATTTCTGCACGTCGTCTTGGGGTGCCCTAATTGTTCTCTGGAAAGTTTCTTACTTACGTCGGCTGAGGTCCTTTGATTCGCTCTAAATTTTCTTCCATTATCTCCCATATAAAATTTAGAAATTCTAAAATTGCATTGCCTATATGGAAGACTGCTTCCTGTAGTTGGTAAAGCCGTTGGGGCTGTAGGTTATATATTCCCATGTAAATTATTATTGTAAATGGAGCAAGTTTATAGGGCATAATTAGAAGACAGATAACACACATTAGGTGAAATATAGGATATTGGCACATTTTCTCGCGCTTGTTGCGATGTACACGTGCGTGACGGTTGTGTGGTGACGTGTGGTCACGTGTGTGTTTAGTGTGAAAGTTGTCCTGTTGGGGGACACATTTTGTGCCTTGTCGTTGTGATTTGAGGCCGTTGTGGCCTTGTGAATTGAGGGCATATAAAAAAGGCAATTGGCCTTAGTGAAAAAATTGTGTTGTGCGTGCGCGTGACTAGATTGGCATGTGGGTGATTGGGTTTTGACCAATGGATGCGCGCATTGTGTGCCATGTGCCGAAGGAATGCTTGGTGCATGGTGAGTCCTTTGTGACATCGCTTGGCACTCCCAATACGTGCATTCATTGGGTACATGGTTGAACTTATAGGTAGGGGTAGACAATGGAGCGCCAAGCTGGAACATAGTGCCTTGGTTGAAGTCTATTGCTATTTTAAAATTACAGAGGGTATTTATGCCGAGAATTACAAATGGCAGAGGTGCTTCCACCACATGGAAATTCTCTTTTTTAATTAATTTTCCTATTTTACCTATAGTTGTTACAAGACCGTTTATGGCCTGTAGGTCTATGGACTGTTTCTTTAATTTTAAATTAGGGAGGTTAGTTTTTAGAATTTTATAGAGATTATGGGGCACTATGTTCAAACTTGCGCCTGTATCAATTAGGAAAGGGGGTGACAGTTCAGGGGTTAGGGACAGTTTCATCGTCAACTGGTTGACGACAAAGGGTTGATGCCTTCCTACCTTAGTGCCGAAAGGCTTGGGCGGCTTGAACGTCTCGGGCGTGTTGTGGAGGTGTGGGACGCCGGGGGTGCTGTTGAGTTGGGGCTGTTTGCATTGCCCGCGCGTTCGTGTGTTGAGTTGGGGCTGTTTGCACTGCCCGTGCGCTCGCGTGTTGAGTTGGGGCTGTTTGCACTGCCCGTGCGCTCGCGTGTTGAGTTTGTTGGTATGGACCAGTCCACATACTTGTTTTTCCTTGGTCGTTGGCGTAGGGTCCGGATTGGTGGGTGGTGGCTCCTCGGGGTGGCGTATCCGGTAGTCCGGCCACATGGCGGCGGTAGCTTCGTCCATCTCCCGGTCGGTCGCTCGGAGGAGTCTGTGGGCGGCGTATGTCACGTCGGCGGGGGCCCGGTACGTCCCCTCGCGTCAGGTCAACTTTACCTCCTGTAGGGCAGCCGTCAACTGAAGGAAAACTTCCGCCAGGGGGCGTCGTGCGATCTTCCTTCTCTCCCCTATCCCGCTGCCGCTCTCTTGGTCTCGTTCGTTTTCCATTATATCCTGTCGACTCACTGTAATATACGTTGCTTTATTGGTGCGGTTGATTGAGTTGTTTGATTGATTGATTGATGATTGTGGTGGGCGCAGTCGTGTTTGCTGAAATAGTAAGGTATTCACACAGAGGAAAGTGAGGACACAGGATTGGATTGAAATAGGCCAGTGATCAAGGGAGAAAGGGGTATAGGCGAATGGCGTTTCTTGACTAATGTGATTAGGCGATTCACATTCTAAACATTGGACTTATCTGAGTGCTGAGAAGATGGTGGCGAGCTCCAACTTGTTCCTTGGTAGGTCCAGATGCTACTGCTCTCGATGCTGTCCAGGTCCCGACTGATTAACCTGAGTCTGAGATTTAACTCGTTAACTCTTCAATGTTCTCATTGGATGACTGTCGACTCGTGGCCGTTTCTCATTGGCTCTTAGCTAGTCCTCCTGGACTCTGATTGGATCTTAGCTATTCCTTTGTCTTTGTCTTGTTTTAACATGATCCCAGAAGAAGAGGTTCTGGAACTCATTTTTTGAGTTCCTGGGTAATAACCTTTGCTTCCTGGATAACGAAAACCTGCTAATGATCGTTTCTTCTCTGATGGCCTTTCTCCCAGATTCGCTAAGGCTAGTCTTTATTAAAATCTTTAGATCATACATTGCATACATATTGTGGTGGGGTTACATCCAGTTATGTACAAATTATGACATATATATATGTCATAATTTGTACATAACTGGATGTAATCCCACCACAATATGTATTCAATGTATGATCTAAAGATTTTAATAAAGACAAGGCTTAGAAATCTGGGAGAAAGGTTTAGAGAGAAAGGCCATCAAAGAGGAACGATCATTAGCAGGTTTTATTATCCAGGATCTCATAAAACTGGGTTCAAGAACCTAGTCCTTCCGGGATCATGTCAGAACAAGAAATGAACAAAGGATTAGCAAAGATCCAATCAGAGTCCAGGAGGATTAGCTAGGAATCAATGGAAAACTTACACGAGTCGACGATCAGCCAATCAAAACCCTGAGAAGTTTTCGTGTTAAATCGCGAACTCAGTTTAGTAAGTCAGGAGCTCGGCGCCCTCGAGACGAGTCAGGAACGTGGCACCATCGAGACCGGTTGGAGCCAGCCACCATCTTCTCAGCGATCAGATAAGTCCAATCCTCAATAATGTGAACAGCCATAGTTAATAATCAAACCCGACAAATAGCTCCAACCCCTTTCTCCCTTGATCGCTGGCCTATTCCAATTCAATTCTGTGTCCTTGTTATTTTTCCCCGTGTTAATACCTTACCAACTCAGCAAACACGACTGCCCCCACCACAATCACCAATCAACTCAACCCATCTC